TTTATTTTTTGTACTTACAATCCTTTTTGAAGTATAGTTTTAGTGGGTTATGTGTTGTATTTAGTTCTAGAGCTAAACAAATAGATTTTAAAATTATTTGAGTTCTGTAGTTATTGAACATTCCTGTGTAAGTATCAGTGGGTTTGTTTTTACTGTTCCAACCAAAATAAGGAAATTGTAAATCCATTCAGTCATTCTGGCCTTAAGTTATTTTGTGCCAGTCTCTTTTGAAATTTCTTTAATGGCAAAATGCAGCAGAATGACTTATCAAAAATTTAATACATTAAAGTTTACATACATTTAAGTTGGATATGTATTCTTTGCTTTCTCATATGATTAGGGAAAAATACCCTTTACCTTGTGCTTTGACTTCTGCAGAAGTATATGTGATTGTAGAGGCTAAAATAGCAATTAAGGCAATGCTGGAAGTATTTTTAACACCAACCAGGCATCTTATTTGACAGCGTAACATATAATTTAATGAAGGAAAATGGAAACAACTGTGGTCCTTTCATGACATTATCAGAGCAAGTTCTTTATTTCTCAAAAATCAAATAAGGACAGAAAAAGTAACTTTAAAAAAGCACAATCTTTTTCCTGGAAACCCTCATTAAAAACTTTGTTGTCATCATAATCTTATCCCTGTAGTTTCCATTGGTGTGTCTGATCGGTTGTCACTCAATCGGAGTCCTGTCATTCTACCTTTGCAGTGTCTCTAGTATCTGTCTGCCTCCTCCATTCCATCTCTACTGCCCTAGTTCTGACCTTCATCATCTTTCCTTAGGATCATTATTATGGGTAACTAATGTCTTCCTTATCTCCAGTCTTTTAAAGCCTAACCTTGTACTGTTAGTTTAGATCATATAACTCTGTTCTTAGAATCCTGCTCTGGTTCTCTGTTACCTTTAGAAAACAAAGTAAATGCTTTAATGTGACATTCACAGCCTTCCATTTATCTGTTCCTAGACTATTTTTCAGGCCTTACTGCCTAGCAAATCCTTGTTCATTCTGTATACTAGCTAGTTCCTAAAGATGTTCTTTACTTTTTTGACTTTTTCCTCAAACTCTTTCTCATCTCTGTCAAAAGCCTTCTCTCACCAAGACTCACAGAAATGCTATCTCTTCCATGATTGCCTCACAAGATCCCTCTAGTCATACTTGATCTTGTTAATTTTTTTTATTGTACATTATTTGTAACTCTTTATAGTTTGATATAATACATGTTGTATTAACACTGCTTACAACTTTCTCTTTCACATTAGTTTTTTTAAACTTTGTGAAGAAATGGATCACATCTAATTTTTGAGTTCCTGGGAGCACAATGTCTTCTGTACAGTAGGATGCCTGTGAATGTTTGAATGGAATTTAACTTTGAAATAGCTAATGATTTATTATTTTAAGTTGCCTAGGTAGCATATATAGTTTTTATATTCTTTTGTCTTTTAAAGATCCAAGCTTTAAAGGTAATGATGAGAAAAAGATTTGACTGAGACATATTCTAGATCTTCATTTTAGAGGGTTCAAATAGCTTTCTTCTCCCAACCAAGAAACCTAATTGTCATGAATCAACAAAATAGACTCTACCTGACTTTTTGAATATATGTCCTGTGGTTAGATCACTAATACTTAAGACGCAGGTAAAGGATAGAGTAGGAAAAACATACTGTCAGACTGGTACGAGGTCACTCTGCCTAACTCTGGCGTTAATCCTTATCTTAGTACATTTAGTGTTGCCAGTAAAAAATCATTGGGCTTTTTGGAAATTACATTTCAAGAGCTATCCTATATCAGGGGAGCATATGTTGGCTTTTCGTGGTTGAGTAAGCTTAAGATCCTAGCTGAGCTAGGTGGGGGCAGAAAAGTCAGGGATAACTCTTGTTACAATTATCTTACTGTCCTTTAGCCCTCCTTAATAGTCCAGGCTCCAACATCCCCTGCCCTCTGCCACCATGGTGTCTGTTGTGGCATCAGTAAGGACTCAAGTTTCCTTAAGCGCCTTCCTGAAAAGTTAGTTTCTTGGCCTTACTGTGCTTTCCCTTAGTGAAAAGTATTATTTCTCAACTGTTGCTTCTTATGTTTCAGTAGAAATCATGTTCCTGAAGCACCACTCTATCCTATCATTTTCTTTTTCATTGCCAGTTGTTTTTTTTAAGTTATCTACAGTCTACTTCCATTTCTTTATTCCTTAATGCTTGTGCTCTTGCTTCCACTCACACCACTGTATGGAAGCTGTGCTCAACGAGGTTATATATACTAGACTCTTAAAATATTCCAAATCTGTTTTTTTCTTAATGAGTATTTAAAAACATATATATTTTACATTTGCTTGTTTCAACCATAACTTCCTAACTTTTACATCTCTCTGGGTATTCTTTTCATATTTGTAGATAATTGGATATTTTTATTCATATTTGCATTGTTATATAATATAATTGCTTTCTTTAAAATTTTTTAATCAAATACATTAAGTATATTACATATTATTTTATGTTATAAAAGCCTGATAATAAAATGATCATCTGTACAAACTATTATATGTAAAATAAGCTACAAGGATATATTGTACAACAGGGAATATAGCCAATATTTTGTAATAACTATAAATGGAATATAACCTTTAAAAATTGTGAATCACTATATTGTACACCTGCAACATATAATGTTGTACATCAGTTATACTTCAATAAATACATAAAACAAAACAATCACCTGTGAGCATCTGTGAACATACCACCCAGCTTGAGAAATAAAACCTTACATATCGCTGAAGCTCTTTGTACGTGTCTCACTTATTGTATCTTCTACCTCTCCAGAAATAGAATTTTATATTTACCATTTCCTGCCTTTATAAATTTATCTGATTTGTATCCTTAAGCAATATATTGCTTAGTTTAGTTTGTTTTAAAACTTCTTGCAAATGGTGTCACGTGTCAACTTTTTCACTCAGCTTTAGGGGGATAAGCAGGGGTTGAGGAGGTGGTGAGCATGGGGGAGTAGGGAATGTTCTCTTGTTAAACTGTTTATCCTAGAAGGTCAGGGACCACTTCTTATGTATCCTTCGTGTCTTTAACATGTAACATAATGGTTTTTTACAAGGTAAGACACTGAATACTGTTGTCTGTATAAGTATGAGGAAATCCAGGGGATCCCTATCATATTCTGTAATGGATGCTCTTAGCTGTTTTGGTGGTGCATTGTTGATTAATTATATACCTAATCAAGAAATGAGAAAGTATTAATATTTAATATAAAATGTGACAAGAGTCAAAGCAAATTGGGGTGCTTTTGGAGTTTCACATAGGTGAACAGAAGCCTTTTCGCCCCTAAAGTTGTACCTTAATCAGCATTTTAGGATTCAATGTTCACTGATGTCCATTCGTCTAATAATAGTGAACTGATAGAATGAAGAGCATTAAGGTAGTGGAAATAAGTGATAGAAAAAAAATTGTAATCTCTTTTCTTTAAATTGGAAGTATAGATGATTTACAGTGTTGTGCCAGTCTCTGCTGTACAGCAAAGTGACTCAATTTTACGCATATATACATTCTTTTTTTATATTCTTTTCCATTATGGTTTATCACAGGATATTGAATATAGTTCCCTGTGCTATACATTAGGACCTTGTTGTTATCCATTCAAAATATAATAGTTTGCATCTACCAGCCCCAAATTCCTAGTCCATCCCTCTCCCTCCCCCACTCCCCCTTGGCAACCACAAGTCTGTTCTCTATGTCTGTGAGTCTGTTTCTGTTTTGTTGATAGGTTCCTTTGTGACATATTTTAGATTCCACATATAATTGATATCATATGGTATTTGTCTTTGTCTTTGTGACTTAGTTCACTTAGTATGATAATCTGTAGTTGTATTCATGTTGCTGCAAATGGCATCACTTTGTTCTTTTTTATGGCTGAGTATTCCGTTGTATATATGTTACACATCTTTATCCATTCATCTGTCGATGGACACTTAGGTTGTGTCCATGTTTTGGCCCTTGTGAATAGTGCTACTGTGAACATAGGGGTGTATGTTTCTTTTTGTATTATAGTTTTGACTGGGTATATTCCCAGGAGTGGGATTGCTGGATCATACGGTAATTCTATTTTTAGTTTTCTGAGGAACCGCCATACTGTTTTCCATAGTGGCTGTATCAAAAAAAAGTTGTAATCTCTTAAATGTATTAATGCGGCCATTTATTCAAATTGTAATTAGTTCTTTACAACTGAAGACCTTGTATAAATTTACTTGGGTTCCTGAAGTTTTCATTTGGTGACACTTATGATCTCGCCAAGATTCCCATTTAGTGTGCTCCGCTGATCTGCCCCATCTATATGCATCCCTGCACAGGTGTACACACACACACACACACACACACACACACACACACACACAACTTAATTGTTACATACCTAGCCTTTCTTCTTCATTTTTTTTTTTACTCCCTCCATCTTCCCAGTCAGAATTTACCAGAGGAGATGAGAAAACAAAGAATGTCATGAAACATCAAAGATCTTTTCAAAGTAAACCAAAGTATTTGGGTGTATTCTACCAGAAACATGTTCATACATCCCCAGCTTCATATAAAGTGCCCTGGCTACCCCTCCCCCCAGCTTGTTTCCTTTTGTAAACTGATAAGAAAGAAATATTTTTAAATGAAACTTCCTTCTATTTGTAAACTATACGTTAATGCAGATTTAACAGAAGAAAAATATAAAAGCTTTTATTATTCTGTTCCTTTGACAGGAAAGATTCCTAATACTTAATGCAAAATGATACAAACAGTAATTCATTTCGTTAATGAAAATTTGGAGGGGAAAGTAGATTGTTTATTGATACCCTGTATATTGAACTCTGAAAATAAATATTCAAGATAATTGAAAATTAACTCTGTTAGCAAAGGACACAGTTTAGGAGGTTTGTTTGTTTGTTTTTTAAACTGCTCACTTGTTTTATTGTTAATGAGGAAAACTAATGGGATTATTTGTGTTCATTTTGTTTCAGAAAAGAACTACTTTTAATGAAGTACAGCATCCATTGTGAAAGTGGAGAAGTAAAGATTATTCATCATGCCTGCTGTGGCTTCAGTTCCTAAAGAACTCTACCTCAGTTCTTCACTAAAAGACCTCAATAAGAAGACAGAAGTTAAACCAGAGAAAATAAGCACTAGGAAGTGTGTATACTTTGCTAATTTGAGTCATATACAGGTATCCCCCACTATTCAAAAGTAGAGTGTTCCTATGAAGCCTTTTGTAAGCCAAAATGGCATAAAGTGAGGAAACAACTTTTTTCACGAAAGCAAAAATCGCCTCTGTATTTCTTTCAATTAGTAAAAAAGGTACTTAGGTGTTCTGTAAAAGCAAAGTGGTGTAAAGTGAACTTTTGAAAAGTGGGGGATAACTGTTAACTTTTAGTTCATTTCCATTTTATTAAATGAGTTAGAGAAGTTCTTAATTTTATCTTGGCAGAATACATATATATTCTGCTAATAAGCATATTATCTGTTTTCTGGACAGTATGTTACATCATAAGTTTAAGAGGTGAAGACTGCAAGGATTCTACAAAACTCATTCAGCCACAGTTAATGTCTTTTCCTAAAACAGTGTAAAAGTACTTCTTAATTAAAGATCATTTTTATCCTTGTGTATTTTACATATAAGATCTGGTTCTAGCATAGTCTTTGATTAAAAAAGAAGAGATACGTATTTTTTATGCAGTATTCAGCAAAGTATTTAATTTTTGCCAATTTGACATGAAGTTTTAACCTAATGATTTTTTTAAAATTTATTTTACTTATTTATGGCTGCATTGGGTCTTCATTGCTGCACACAGGCTTTCTCTAGTTGCAGTGAATGGGGGCTGCCCTTTGTTGTGGTGCACTTGTTGTGGAGCACAGGCTCTAGGCACACGGGCTTCAGTAGTTGCGGCACACGGGCTCAGTAGTTGTGGCGCACGGGCTCTAGAGTGCAGGCTCAGTAGTTGTGGCGCATGGGCTTAGTTGCTCCACGGCTTGTGGCATGTTCCCGGACCAGGGATCAAACCCATGTCCCCTGCAATGGCAGGCGGATTCTTATATATCCTCTTTTTTTTTTTTTTTAAGTCTTCTTTGTTTGTTTTATTATTTATTTATTTGGCTGTGCCGGGTCATAGTCGCGGTACGTGGGATCTTTGTTGTGGCATGCATGTGGAATCTAGTTCCCTAACCAGCGATCAAACCCAAGCCCTCTGCATTGGGAGTGTGGAGTCGCTGCACCACCAGGAAAGTCCCCTAATGATTTATTTTATGTATTTTTATTTTTGAGGGCATGTAGTCTATCTATGTTGGGGTAGACTACATGTTGAGGTAGAGGCTAGAGATGATACTTTCCTGATAACAGTTGCAGAATTTGTCCTGAGATAAAATATAATAGAGATGGAAAGGTCCAGCTATTTTGATATTTACTGGAAGTCATTTTGCTATAAAAATGGGATATCACTAAAATTGTTAACTTATTGATAGTTTTATCTCTGTTAAGGAGGGACAGGAGACAATAGGGGAACTTTTCCTCTGAATTTATTTTGACCAACAAAGGAGAAGATTTAGAGATATATAACTATATTATTATAGAGCTGGGAGTAGGAGTTTCAGAAAGAAAGGTGGGTCTAGCCAGCCTTACACCCTACACTTGAGGTAAGCAGATTTTAGAAATCGGGGAAAACAGGTGTTCTGTGGCTGTAGATAAATGTGAGGCTCTAAAAACTGTTATGTATGATCCCAAATGAACCTGTGAAGAGGCATCTTAAACCTGTGTTTGCACAGGAACATCTTTATGAGTCATTTTCTAGAGGAAATAAACAAGATGGGAAGGAAATAAAACATTAAGGATGAAGACAGGAGAGTAGTAAGAACTTTAAAGAAGGTCAGGAAAGAAAATCCCAGAATGAACTAATATTCGTAAACATTACTAAGTATAAAATGGGCTTTTGAAAAGATCTTTGGGTGGGGAAGTGATAGGAAGAGTAAGAGAGGGATTGGCCTACTTCTTAAGCTTAGTTGGTAATGTTGATGGGGTGATAGAGAAAGTAGCGCTGTTTAACTCACATTGAATGATTTTCAAATAGAAAATAGTGAGAAGGGTAAAACCACCTTGAAGCTTTCTCAGAGAGCTTCATCTAATCTTCATCTAAACAGATAAATCTGTTTTAGCAATGTCTGATTTAGCTTTAGGACTACCCTGATCCCACAGGAAGTGGTATGTTGGCCTAAATGTACCACCACAACATGTAGCACTATTCTAGAGAATGCTAGAATCCTTTTAGGATATTTGGCTGGTTCACTGGACCCACAGTGGCATTGCAGCCATCTCAGCTGGGCCTGCTACATATGGGCCCATGAGATATACATGCATCATAATGAAAGAAATTTGGAAAAACCTAAGGACTGTTGTACCCACTCCTAAACTCTTAGAGAATCTCCTTACTAGCTTTGGTTTGATTTACCTCTGTCCTGGAACTTTGATGCCATGCTTAGCAGGGCATGCACACTGACTGAAATTGTCCTTGTGTAGGACCATCTTTGGTCTTAAAGACCAGTTTGGCCCTGTTCCTTTGTGGTGTTCTATCTAGTTCCTTGGCCTGACCAACTTCATCACTAATCCATTTCTCAATCATAGAGCACAGTTTGAAAAATATAGAAAACAAGGTGCACTGATTTGTAGAAATAAGTTATTGATAAAGCATATTGTGTATTAGCATTGGCACTACAACTTAGTTGCCAAAACTTTAGTCCTAAGTAAATGAATTCCTCTTGCAGAAATGTCTGTTTTATTAATTTGCTTTCTGAAGACTGTTAAACCAGGAAAATGTCCTTAGAATGAATGCCGTAGTGGACTTCCCTAGTGGTACAGTGGTTAAGAATCCGCCTGCCAATGCAGGGGACATGGGTTCGAGCCCCGGTCCAGAAAGATTCCACATGCTGTGGGGCAAGTAAGCCCATGCACAACTACTGAGCCTGCGCTCTAGAGCCTGCGAGCCACAACTACTGAGCCCGCATGCCACAACTACTGAAGCCCATGCACCTAGAGCCCGTGCTCCACAACAAGAGAAGCCACGACAATGAGAATCCAGCGCACTGCAACAAAGAGTAGCCCACGCTCTCTGCAACTAGAGAAAAGCCCACGCGCAGCAATGAAGACCCAATGCAGCCATAAATAAATAAATAAATAAATTTATTTAAAGAAAAAATAAATGAATGCCGTAGACCCCTCAAATTATTTTACTGAAGTGGAATTTTAAGATGACATGTTTTTAGACTTTAAATCTCTTTTCAGGGCCAGTGAATCAGAGTGCAGTTCAGCCATTGTGTAGAAAACTCTAAAAGATTGAACTCATGTCCCCTTTCCTGTCCCTAGTTTCTTGAGTTTTTAGGTGAGGAGAATTTTACATCATGGTTAGAAAGGAGTAAGGAGAATTGAAAAGTATTTGTTTTAACATTAAAATAATAAATATTTTAGCTCCCCTACTTCAGTACAAGTAGTATGCAGCTATGTTCTTTATAGAGTATGACAATTATATGGATGCTGGAGGACCATTTGCCTCAGGATTATCTATTGTAGCAAATCTTTTTAAACTGGATTTAGAAGGCATTTTGTACAGTTTGGTGACATACAAACAACTATTAATGAAACGTAAGTAATTGTAGTATGAGGGAAATTTTCATGTTGCATCCAAACATATCTAACTTTGTATAATTCTGAAGTAGTGCAACCTAAATTATGAGAGATATTTTATTGAGAGTCTCTGTGGACTTACATGACTTTTTTCCCCCAGATGTCAAGTGTTTTAATTACTTTTTCTCTCATTTTAAGTTATGTACAGAGTGCCCTGAAGATCTTCAAGACCGCAGAAGAAAGCAGATTAGATCGTGATGAGGAAAGGGCCTATGTGCTATATATGAAATATGTGACTGTTTATAATCTTATCAAAAAAAGGCCTGATTTCAAGCAACAGCAGGTACCTTTTACTTCTATGTTTTTATTTGCTAAGTTATTTTTACACAGTGGAGCTATTGATCTCTAAAATTTTTAACTAATACTGAAATTTAGATATTATGTAGCAGCAAGTTCAAACTTCTGCAGACAGAAAAAGCAAACTAAAGATTTCGTTTCATTATTTGCAATATATGTGTGTATGTATGGTTATACTCGCACTATATACATATACTTAATTTGCTGTGGATTAGTACAGGTTTATAGCAACATACAGACTCATGATTAGTCTTCTGTTGTAATAAATCACTGCCAGGTCAAATAGAAGGATTCAGTTTACTCATGCATTCAGTAAGAAAAATACGACTATAGTTGTACTTTTTCAAGGGTCAAGGTTTAGTCACTTGTTTTTATGTGACAGCTTTTTATATTTAATTGACACTATAGCCATATTAAAGATCTCAGTTTGCAAAGTTAATGTTGATTAATCTATTTAATTTAGATATTCATTTTTATCTATTTATTTATTATTTTTTGCTTTTAATCTTTTGAGCCAGGTGCCTCTCTTCCAATTTGCTGAAGTGTGAGGAGGGAGGGAGGATGGGAGAGGTGTAAATGGGTAAAGAGAACTGTTGACTAGGATAAGTGTTGCTAGAGAAGACAGTTGCATTTTTATTACACCAGAAATAGACAAAAGAAGAAAATAGAGAGTGGGTTAAAGAAATGGGAAGTATATTGTATTGGTGTTTCCACCTTTACCTAGGAATGATCTTGCTACTAGAGAATAATAGCAAAATACTGCTTATAGATTTCTTACCTGGTAGACAAGCCATTTTATTTTTTTGGCCACAGCATGTGGCATGTGGGATCTTAGTTCCCTGACCAGGGATCAAACCCATGCCCACTGCGTTGGAAGTGTGGATGGAGTCTTAACCACTGGACTGCCAGGGAAGTCCAAGACAAGCCATTCTTAAGTTAATATTGAGATTTTTATTTAGTTCACTTTTGGCAGAATTGTCTTGCCTCATTTAAATTTTTTTTAAATTTGTTTTATTTATTTATTTTTGGCTGTGTTGGGTCTTCGTTGCTGTGCATGGGCTTTCTATAGTTGCGGTGAGCACGGGCTACTCTTCGTTGCAGTGTGCAGGCTTCTCATTGTGGTAGCTTCTCGTTGCGAAGCATGCGCTCTAGAGTGCAGGCTCAGGAGTTGTGGCGTGTGGGCTCAGTAGTTGTGGATCACGGGCTCTAGAGCACAGGCTCAGTAGTTGTGGCACACGGGCTTAGTTGCTCGGCGGCATGTGGGATCTTCCTGCCTCATTTAAATTGACTTATAGAAGTGAAAAAAAAAAGTTACCTTATTCTTCGAAATAACCTTTTTTTGTCCACAGTAGTGGGACTTATAAAATTTCTTTCGGTTGTTGGTTATGGGATAACTTTAATGTTTTATTTAATGGTGACAAATGATTGCTGGTGTTTCTTCTCACCAGCAAAATTATGCTGATAATCTTTATGGGGTTTTAGATCTAGCTTTGGAAAGGTAGCTCCTTGCATTTGGAGATTCATCTTCCTGTCTACAAATGGCTGGGTTGTTCCTGCCCTTGGAACACTCTTGGACATGCTTATCTGCAGATAGAGACAGAGGCTTGTCTTGCTCACTCTTTGATGGTTTTTACAGTATCTGTTAAAAAGGTACTGCTTAAAGCCAGGATACGGTTCATGTGTTTAATACTTTCTGTCATCACTGATATTTTTCCTAACCCCACTGGAAGGTTTCAGAAAACAACAGTGATGTAATGGTCATTTTACTCAGAGAGTCTTTGAGTCATGTTGTTTCTGCCCAACATAAAATTGAATAAAAGCTACTCTGCTGTATACATGATCTATGGGATATGAAGGACTACCCACAACTAAAAGTTTGGCTTAGGGCTTCCCTGGTGGCGTAGTGGTTGAGAGTCCGCCTGCCAGTGCAGGGGACGTGGGTTCGTGCCCCGGTCCGGGAAGATCCCACATGCCGCGGAGAGGCTGGGCCTGTGAGCCATGGCTACTGAGCCTGCGCATCCGGAGCCTGTGCTCCGCAACGGGAGAGGCCCGCGTACCACAAAATAAAATAAAATAAAATAAAAAAATAAAAGTTTGGCTTATTTATGAGATAATAAAGAGAAACCCAGTGCCGGAAGACCCTGGTGGCATGACAAAAACATCACAGACTGGGGTAGAGTAGACCTGGGTTGGGAACGTGCTCTCTTACTTTGGGCTCTTACTTCATCTTTCCTGAGCCCCCCAGTACGTTCATCTCTAAAGGGGACCTCCTTGGTGGGTTGCTATAAGAATCGAAGATAAGTCTTGTATTATCGTTCCTGTCATACTATAAATATTCTATAAATATTGAACGGGTGAATGAATGAATGGTGGCAGTTATTCTGCTTATTACTATTGTAAATGTATATTTTATTTATTAAAACATAAATCTGAGAAAAAAACATACATCTGAACCCTGTCAGAAATTTAAAAAAAAAAAAAAGATACTGCTTAAAAAGAAGTGTAAAAGTATTTACTGAAATAAATATTTTTGAAAGATTTGCGAAGTTGCAGAGCACAGGCTCCGGACACGCAGGCTCAGCGGCCATGGCTCACGGGCCCAGCCGCTCCGCAGCATGTGGGATCTTCCTGGACCAGGGCACAAACCCGTGTCCCCTGCATCGGCAGGCGGACTCCCAACCACTGCGCCACCAGGGAAGCCCTGGTGTTTCCTTTTTTGTCTGTTGTGGTAGGGCCAGTTTTTTATGTACTTACTTAATTTTTGCTTTATTTTTCTAACTTACTGGTTACTTTTTTTCTTTGGCAAGATTGGGAGTGGTTTTATAGCTACCTTTTTTTTTTTTAACTTGAGAAGGTTGGGAGTAAATTTTAATCAGTAAGAAATTTTTCCATTTCCACAGAGTATCTATTGCATTTCCAAAGAGAGTATCTAGTTGAAAGTGGCAGGAGTTGTTCGGGTTAGGAAGCTCCCTGCAAAGGCTCAAGTAACCCAGCCTGTTACTTCATATGCTGTAGATGTTCAGTTCCTGATATTAGTAAAGGGACTGTTTCCATTTGCTCTGTCCAGGGTACCACATCTGCTTCTGTCTTAGAACTGTTTTTTGTTTTATTGTATTTAGCTCAACGTCTCCAGTGCATTTTAAGTATGTGAAGTGTTAAATTTAGTAGCTACATATTTTCTGGATTTTACCCTTTAAATCAGGAAGTGACAGGATGTAATGTGACCAGCCTTCTTCAGAAACTTACATTTTTCACTTGTTTTACACTAAGATTTAGATAAAACTTGTTAATTTAGCAAGCTCACTAGTAGAAAACACATTACATTATTGTTTACTCATTGAAAAAATTAGTTTATGAACAATTTTTTCAGGATTATTTGAAAAGGGGGAGAAGGCAAATATATTGAAAATATTAGTATAGCAAAGTCTAGATACAGTTAGAATATTTTAAAATATCCATGGCAATCATGATAATTAATGCTAAATATTATTAATAGTGAACCATTTTGTTTGGGAAATAATGAGAATTGCTTGAATTTGTGTGTTCAGGAGTAGGAAGTTCTACTAAGTAAACCTAAGAAGCAAATGTTTTTAGTTGTATAAGAATTGGACATTTTTTTTTTATTCTGCCAATTGTCAATACTATTGAAAATTGGAAAAAAATTATACTTACTCCAACTGTGTTCCTTTAAGAGCACAGAGAGAGGTAATTATTGACAAGAAACCTCATTAATATTAGGGGAGTGTCTTCTGGGAGTTTGTACCAGACATGCCCAAACATGATTTTTTCAGCATTTCAGCAGTGTTAAGCCAGGCTTTTAAATGAGTTCATGTCAAAAATTAACAAAACAAGTCATATAAAGCAACCATACTCCAATAAAAATTAATTTTAAAAAAAGTCATAGTGTTTTTTGGTTTTACTTTGTATTTTGTTTTTATCAGAGAAATATTACAGTAATGGCTAATTTTGTTTTCTCTTAAAAAAGTATTGCATCAGAAGTCAGGACATTGTGATAATGGAAGTAATTACAGTTTCCACTGTAATTTTTAGTTGATATAATATTGAACAAACTATATACTTTTATTAAAAATTACATAGTGAATGGCCCTTTTATATATTTTATCTCTAATCTAGAAGAATAAAATCAAATAAAACATGATCTACTTTTAGCCTAGATAGACAGACATAGGATAACTGTTATCAACAGATCTATCTTACCAGCTCTTCGTAACTGCCTCTCAAACAGCCAGAGATGGATATTTCTGGCCTCCTGGCCTTTCTTTTTATAACTTCTGATTACAGTATCATTTGTGATAAACTGTGTTAGTAGGCTCTATTTGCAAAGTCATAGTGATGAGTTCCGGCAAGTTAGATCCACTAGTCAGTTAGCTGAGTCTCACTGCACTACTGTCATGTTAAACTAGACTTGATTTGGAATTATCTCTGATTGCAAGATCTAATGAGTGACCCCTTAGGGAAGTGATTTATTTTTTTCATTATGCTTGTTAATAAATTATGTGCTAAATCTTTTGTGTGTGTATGTGTGTGTTTTAACATAGATCATACTATTGATTTATTTTCTACCATTTGATTTTTAGTTACTCAAGGTTTCCTCAAGTGTAAAACTTGTTTTATGTCTAAAGTGATTTGACTCCAGTTGGGAGGTAGGTAGGTATTATAAAATACAGGTGGAAGGAAACATCTCAGTTTAAAACAAGTAAAACAAAACAAATTCTATGCTGTGGATCAATACAGAATTTGCTTTACTGCTTCTGAGACTAAAAGAAAAAACTAAGTAACATATTTACAGTAGGAAAATATATTTTGCTCCTAACGTATATGGTTTGCTTTTTGGCACTTATTCAAAAACAATAAGAATAGTATTTACACTTCGTAAAGGTGCCTTACAAATAAGTAAAATTATTACCTACCGGCTTTTTTTTTTTTAACATACTAATAGTACGAAAAAATATTTTTGAAACAATTGGAGAATAAGATGTACACTTTTGTAGGTTAAAAGTTTTAAGAAATATTTTATTCAATCATAATATTTTTATCTAAACTTTTGTTTATATGAACACCATAATTTTGTGTTTTTAGCATTAGTGCTATGTACAGTGGCTAGTACTAACAGTATAAGATGGTTTTCCTATAATTTTAGGACTACTTTCATTCAATACTTGGACCTGCAAACATCAAAAAAGCTATTGAAGAAGCTGAGAGACTCTCTGAAAGCCTTAAACTCAGGTACAGACACTATTATGAAATCTTTAAAAGAATGTAAATTTAGAAGATTAAAATTATATTTAGAATTTGTCCATTTATATATGACCATGCATATAAATCCCAATTCCTAAGAAGAAGTCTTATATTCATGTGTTGCTATTAATGTTCTTTACTGAAAATTTTTAAATGTTTGGACTAATACATTAAGGTAAGCATTGGTCTATTAGATTATAGCTCAGGTCCAGTTTTTTCTAAGTTTCTGACAGGATTCTTCAGAAAAACATAATATTCTCATATGCTTCAAGTCATAATGTGCTACTGGACACTGGACTTGTGGGAATTAAGTATTTAATGTTAGTTTTGACTTGCCTGGTTGCAGAAGTTACATATTTTTTAAAAAAAATCTAACTAGTATTTGCCATGACTGACTTACCAGGCTTATAAAATAATTAGAAATTAAAAACAGTATGTTTCAATTTTTAGTCATTAGTCACTCTTTAAGTAACAAAATTAAAAGGGAATTACTTTTACTCCAAGTTTTTTTAAACTTGGATCAGTTAACTGCTATAGTTACACAGGTTTTCCCCTGCTATCTGAAAGTAAAGTGTTCCTATGAAACTGCTATCTGAAAGTAAAGTGTTCCTATGAAACTTTACCTAAGCCAAAATGGCGTAAGGCAAAGAAGCAACTACCTCAGGACACGTCCTGCTACAAGATGCACAAAATAAATCAAGATAAAGCACAGATGCACACAGACACAGTTCAAAGCTATGGCAGCTTGATGCTGAGATGCTTGTGTAATTCCTGGGGAGGAAGCTTGGCGGTGCCACTCTCTGATCAGGGTGTGGCTACTTCTCTAACAGCTGGCTGCAAAACAACTGCTAAACGCTATTTTCATTTTTCACCTTTTTTCCGTAAGTGAATATCCTCTTCAGATTTCTTTCGGTTAGTAAAAACAAGTACTAATGTAGGTCTTTTGTAAAAGCGAAGTGGCATAAAGAAAACGTCTGAAAAGCAGAGATACCTGTATGTATCATAGCCTTTACTTAGAAATTATCTTTTTCAACTAGTGTGTTCCTTGGTCCTTTCCACAATTACTAATCTTGGGGCTGGAATATGTTAAGGTGGATGAAGTCATTTAGAATTACTATTCTCTTTCTCCTTCAGCCAGTTAATCAACTAAGTAGAATAGAATTTCTCCTAATCTTTGGGTTACCCATTATTAACTGTTCTCTCGTAGATTGCCTAGTTTTTCCCTAATCATACTACTGCTAGTAATAATCATGTTCTTTACTCCTCTGTCTTTGGGGCTTTAGGTTCTTTCACTTATTTATTGTCTGTACTTTTTTGTATTTTGAGCTATTTTATAAGTAAATCGGGCTTTATAGTTAATTTTAGGATTTTAGGATTGTAAATCCTTTGAAAAGGAAATGGCAGCATATTTGAATCTTTAAAGGGTTGAAATTCGTGGGAGAGAAAGAGCAAAGAGAATATTGAACAGCTTCAACTTGAGAGCATAGAGTTTCTTTTCAAGATTTTTGAGCAATTTGAAATAAATCTACAGAGGACAAATTTGTGAGTTGTGATTTATAATGGAACACTGGCAGAGTTGAATTTCAACTGGAGGGAGAAAGAATGCAGCCATAAAATACCTCATGGCAGGATATTAACTTTATACAACTGGAAATCCTTTACTTTCCACCATCATGCCAATAAAAGACATCCTGACTTCTTTTTTCAACTAGATATGAAGAAGCTGAAGTTCGGAAAAAACTTGAAGAAAAGGACAGACGGGAGAAAGAGCAGCTGCAGAAACAGAAAAGGCAGGAAACAGGAAGAGAGGATGGTGGCATATCAGCTAAAAGTTCTTTGGAAAATGTATTGGATGCCAAAGACAAAACCCACAAGGTATTTCAGATTTATTCTGCTAGGTAAAAAGACTGGTTCTTTTTGTCAGATGATTTGCTTAAGAAGAGTTGAGATACCACTATATCATTCTTTTGGGCAAAAAGGATAAAATTTAATGTGTTTTTATTAGAAATTGAATTAATTATTCTAGCTTTAGTTGATTCCAGGTTTTTCTTGAAACTTCTAAAGAAATATGTTGTGTGTATTTGTTAGTTTTTAGCAGTCACTATAGACTTGACTGGAGCAGTGGAAAGAGCATTTGGGCTGTGATTCAGTATATCTGAGTTCTGGTCCCGTATCAAGTCTTGCTTAACTGTTTTGGGACTCAGTTTGGCCAATTAAGATCTTGAAATAGATGATCTTTAAGGTCTCTCTAATAAATGTAATTTACATTAGGGAAA